CCTCTCTAAAGAGGGGTTTGTCGAGGGGACAAGGACGTTTCCGTCTTCTGAAGACATGGAGGCCTCTGCTTCCACAAATGTAGCAATTCCATGTCATTTAAAAAACTTCATTTTACCTCAGCGCACGGCTGGATAGATGCTAGGAATACTGCCTGAATAATACATGTAAAATGAAACTTCATTAATTGTTACATAAAATGTTATCAGGTGGATTTGACTAGTTTGTCCATCTTGAGTTCTGTGTACTGAAGTATGTTTCCAGCCCTTCAGTCTTCCCGGTGTCTCCTTTCTGGGGCCTTCCTGGTTTTCCAATTTGTGTGACGAATCCCAAGTCACCAGAAGGGAGTGTTGTGTTTTAGCAGTATATGTGGTAGGACTAGATACGTACTGTGATTACTGTTCGTGTTTGGGCATCCAGAGACAACCTGATTTCTGTGCGGTGTAGCATGAGGAGTTGTTCAGCTCACCACTGAGTCATTGCTAGTTTTGTTATATCCCAGAAACATCTGTCATATAAACACCTCTGTCTCTTCTGTTCTTATTGCCATAATCTTATACATGGCCAAATATGAGGAGACATAATTTAACATAACTGCTTTCAGAGTGGCAATATAATGTGATATAGACTTATTTGGGAACTCTATTTCACGTTACATTTTATGTATGTACACTCACACATGTGCACACTTTTCTGTTCTTTAGCAAGGACTGAGTGTAATTGTCCTCACAGTCATATTCCAAGCATCATTTAATTATTTATTTATTTTTTTGTTTCCCCTATAGACTGGGGAGCATGGCTGCTAAGAAACTGAGAAGAGCAAGGTTGTCTCAGGAGCTGTGTGAAAGGCTGAGTCGCCATCAGATCACTACTTGTCAGGTGAAAGGTTTTTTTCTGTGCTTGTGTGAGGTATTTTTGGGGGATTAACACTTCTTTTTTGGGGGGTGGGAGCGGAGGTGGGATGGTGTTTTAATGCACGTACTGTTTACTTTTTTTTGTAGTTTAATTTACAGGGAGCTTTACTTTCTGTGAAGTAGGGGGCATTTCAGGTTCCATCTGCTCTGATCCCTTGTAATAGCTTTAACATGATAGATGGCTAACTAAAACAGTTATACTCATATGTACTTACTACCTTCACTTAAGAACCCAAAGACACTCCCTTTTAGAAGGGGTGTGCAGCTGCTACTTGTAGGGGTTAAGATATCCATTTGTGAGCACTTCACAAAAGCTCATAATCCAGAGCATGGATGTGCTGTGATGTTACAGTACCAGCTATGGGTTGATTCAGCAGTAGGTTCTGAAGTTGTTCTTATGAATGGCTTGCCTAAAGAAAGTCAGGAGGCCCTATATATTGCAGTGGTATGCATCATAAGTAAAGGATCTAGCCCTAGGACTGCCATTTAGAAGATGTGATGTATTTTGAATATTTTTCAGGCAGATAGAGACTTCTGTGGCTGAAAGATGTTGTCTTGTTGCAGTTGCATCACACAGCTCTTGAATGCTTGGTCCTTTGACTCTGTGTCCTTTAAAATATGAATAAAATTTCTTTTACTTCACTGGTATCAAAGAAAACTAAAGGTCTAGCATGATGGCATCTATCCTGGCACAGCTGGTAAACCTGTGCAATGTATACTAGTTGTGCATAAACTGCATCAGTTTAGTCTCCAGTTTTGGTTTCTAGGTTGAGCTCTCTGAACTGTTCTATCATTTTTCAGGACTTTTTATGTCTTTCCCTCTTGGAGCTAATGAAGGTGACGGGACAGAGCTACTACAACGTGCAGAAGCTTCTTTGTAAAGTCAGCCAAGCTTGTGCTCCCAAAATGCAGACAGTAAGTATCTTGGGTTGCCTTTGGTTTTGATAGAGTATCTGGGGAAGAAGAAAAAACTATGTCACATCTTTTTACTCAGAAGGTTTGTGGTGCCTTGGTTTGATTGAACAATGAAATAATACTTTTGTTTTAAAATTTAGATCTCTGAGGCACGTTAGCTTGCTGCAGTGACTTTTATTAGGCACCACAGCCTCGAGATTGTTCAGGCTTGGAGAATCTGTTCTGAGTGCAGTAGGGCAAGACGGCGGTTTTCTCTTCAAGTAT